AAAAAAAAAAAAAAAAAAAAAAAAAAGCCATTGCAAGTACACATGCATTGAGTGGAAAAAAATGTGGTATTTGGAGAAAAGAGCGATGTGTAATATGGCTAGAGTGTAAGATGCATAGAGCGCCAGGTTATGGACGCAGGCGGCCTGGGAAGGGCCTCCTGAGCCTGTATTCCTTCCCTGTGGCAAGTGGTTCTTCATGTTTTGTTTTGTTTTCCTCCCCCAACATACCACAACTTAACTCCTCCTGCTTATCACCCGTTAAGATTGGGCGCTGTGGCCAACTCTGAGCTGTACTTCTATTTTTCTTCTTCTATTCAAGAAAGTTTACTTGTACACCTAATCACCTTTCCCATTCTTCTTCAGATGTGCCTTGTCTATTTGCAGCTTTTTATCATTCAGCTAAAATTCAGAATCAGCCAAAGGAGGTCTTTCTGCTGATTTGGATTCTATTAAAGGTGTATTTTAGATAAAATATATTGTTTTAGATTTTCATTAAAAACTTATTTGTAAACATGTATAGCCTGTGGATTTGTAGTTCTGACATACAAATTAACTGAAAAATTGTTTGGTATTCTGATAGGAATTGCACTGATTTTATGAATTAATTTGAGAACAGCCATCTTTACGATGGGCCAACAAAGACAGTATATCTCTCCACTTACTTGTGTATTCTTTATATCTTTCAATAATATTATGACTTCTTTGTTTATCAATTTACAAAGGGTATTGCTCATCTTTTATTAGACCTAGTCATAAAAACTTTATAGCTTATTAAAAAAAGTTTAGAGAAATGTAAATGAACAGGAAATCATATTACAATGCTAATTTCAAAAGCACTGGGTTTAAAAATTGATTATAAAACAGTACCAGCACAGAAGGGAAAGTTTTTTCATTTTCTTTTCCAGTACACACATACTGGACAGTCATACATCACTTAAAGGGAATCTGTTTTGAGAAATGCATCATTAGGCAAATTTATCACTGTGCAAACATCACAGAAAGTACAGAAACTACAAAAACTGAAACATCAATAGGTTGCAATCTTAGTGGAACCACCATTGTATATATGATCTGTTGCTTACCGAAAAGTTATGTGGCACATGACTACATGTGCATATTTTCTTTTAGAAAAGATGTCATCCTTACAAAAAGTTACACATATTCTACTTTCCTACATTTGCCTTCTCCCAACTATCAACAGAGAAAAATAAAACAATCAAAATCAAGCAGTTAGCACTGCTATGATACTATTAACTCATCTACAGAATTTCTTCAACTATATGACTCCAACTGTCCTGCTGATATCTTCATGTGGGTCCAGAATCCAAGCCAGAATCATACAACACATTCAATCATTGGTCTCTTAACATCTGAAACAGCACCTTTGTCTGTCTTTGGTGTAATGTATGTTTTAATGTTGATATAAACGACCCATTAGAATTAAATCTGGCATAATGTTCGTTTTGCCACCTTTACCTTCTCAAAGGCCTGGCCAGTTGTCTTTACACCAATTTTTTTTTTTCTTTTTTGAGATAAGGTCTCACTGTGTAGTTCAGGCTGGCCCAGACTAGCCTCGAACTGAGAGTGGTTCTCCTGCCTCAGCCTCCCAAGGGTTGGGATTATAGGTATATATCACCCTACCCAACCTTATACCAATTTTTGAATAATCCAACATTTCTCCACTAATCCAAAGTGTTCCTTTACAACTTTCTATTCTGCTGTATTTTAAATCTGCCTTTTTTGTCTTTCTATTTTGCTAACTCTTATAAATGACAAACTACCTGGCAAGAGTCAGAGCAAAAAGTCAGAGCAGATGTTCAAGGTACAAGCAACAAATCAGAACTATCAGTTTCTAGGCAGCCAAGTATGAAAAGAGACAAAGAGCCAGCCTGGAGTAAAGAAAAGAATGAAGAAGCCAAGCCTAGCAGGAGTATTCCATCAGAGCCAGTCAGAAGTGCAAGAGAGCAGAGAGCCAAGAGAGAACAAATTCTCCATACTCCAATAGCCTGGTGATTATGAGGGCACAAAGGCCTTTGGGAGGAATTTCTGAATCTACTGATCAACAATCACACCAACAGTGCATCACAAGCTGGGCACGGTGGTGCATACTTGTCACCCTAGAACTCTGCAGGGATGAGGCAGGCAGATCCAAATTCAAGCCCAGCCTGGGTAACTTCATGACTTAGCAAGTCTCCATCTCAAAAAGGCACTGTAGCTGTAGCTCACTGTGGAGATCCTTGGTTCAATCTCCACTGCGCACAAGGTGGGTGGGGAGGGTTGGGGGTGTCAGTCTCAACAGAAGCAGTAAACGCCATTTACCAGGAAAAGGCTAAGGCAGGGTGTGTTGTCCACCATCTGCCAGGTCCTACGCATTTCTGCCATATCGGCTCAGGATTTCATAGTGAAGCAGGTAGTGTTTTTCAATCCTCATTTAACAGATGACGAAACAGACTGAGGTCAAAGAATGTGCCTCACTCACAGCATGGAACTAATAAAGAGCCTGGCTGAGAGCACAACCAATGAGAGCCAAGCATGGGCTTGCAAACCAGGGTATGACTCAGGTGTCACTGGGAAGCTCTGTCAATGCATACATTCAGGCCCACCCCTCACCTCTGCTGAGCAAGGGGCACTGTTTGCTAAAGTAGATAAGATTAAGGTTTCACAACCAGGAAATGAGTGACGCTTGAGTGAGGCCCAATAAGCACATTAGTGACACACCTAGAGTCAAAAGCCTTTCGTACTGTACCTCACGCCGGTCTTTACTTCCTCAATTGGAAAGATGACAGAGGTGAGCTCTAGAATGTGGGCTCGCCGAAGGTCTGCAAGATGCTCATAATGACTTCTTAAGTCAAGAGTCTTTTTTTCTACCAGGTCACTAAGTTTTCGATTGTGCCTCTGAATCTTTTCCTTTTTCTCTTGATGCCGTTGTGCTCGACTATAAAGCTTCTGGTTCTTTTCCTTGGTTTTGAGAAGAGCTTCTGAATCTAAGATACATAAATTGTAAAAATTATGTCTGTAAATAGCTTCTCTGTAGTGCAGAGCCCCCACCCCACAAGTATTATAATTAACAATTCAAACTGAAAGCTCAATAAAACCTGCTACTGTTCACGACATGGAGGTCCCAAGAATTAGGTCAAGGAGATACTACACATAAAGCAGAGATCACTGCTAACGTGACCGTGGGTCTCCTACTAGGTTCAGGTTTAGCACAGGAATGACCTGAGTTTCTTAGGTAAGCACCCAAGAATAGTCATGTTGGCCAGAAAGATGTCTAACTCCAATTTGAAAAACTAGTGATCTGATTTTCCTTAAAAACCTCTTAGAGGGCCAGGGATTTAGTTCAGTGGTGCCACCGCCTGCCTCACAAGTGCAAGGACAAGTGCAAGGACCAGAGTTCGATCCCCGGTACAAAAAGAAAAAAACAACCTCTTAGAGGTGCCCTGGCTGGGAATCAGGGAACCCAGGAATAATCTCACACTACAGAAAACAGAGCAGCCGGAGTTCTGGAGAGTACAAGCGCAGCAGCACCTGGTAAAGGGAGGGCAGTGTGTGCACAGCTGTCTGAACACAGATACTTGATGTACTGCAGGGAAAACAGAAGAAGCCCTTCCACATAAAAGACTTAGGTCCCATTTGTGGAACTCTTTCAGGTTGTGCATCCTAAGACCTGCAAGGGGCGTTGGGCTGATGCAAAACTTCACTGGAGTAACAATGACACACTGAATATTCTCAGACAGAAAACTAGGAATCACATAAAAGTTCAAAACCAAGTTCATTACTTTTCCAGAAAAATTTCCAAATGGTACATTAGAAGCCAGCTTCCCAAATTCACCCTTGTTTTTGAGCTGTTTACTGTCCCTAGCTGTCCTCCAATTCTTTCTACCAAGGCTCTTCTTTTCAGTCCGACCATCTAAACCCTAGTCACCTCTCCCTCACACTCCATGTCTCCAGCTTGGCTGAACTCCGGGCAGTCATGCCCTCTTTCATTCACGTCATCATTACAAATGACAAGCAGCACTCAGCTATTCAGATACAGGCCCCTCACACTGGTGAGCACCTAACATCTCCCTGTGCAAACCCTTCACACTGCACGCTATGTGCGCCACACTTCAGATTCTCTCCACAAGATGGAATCACTTAAACAGGGAACGAAGGAACACTGAACCTGTCATAACCCCACACACGCGCATCTCCATTGCTGTTGCTGTGTCCAACATTAGTTGCTCCTATTCCCCCAATTTCCAGATGTTTCTCACCCAGCAAGGACCATTCCATAAATGCAGCCCAGACCTTCTCCTCAGAACTCTATGCTGCGTTCACTTTTCCTATGGCACACAGCCCTTAGTTCCTTACACCAAGTCCCACCCAAGGCTCTCCTGAGTAGAATACAACACACATTTCAGTGTCCACACACCCAAAAACTGCCCTCTTCCTGAGGACCTTAGCTGCAGACCTCAGAATTCTCATAGCTGTTTCTCCTTAGATGAATCTCTTTATTGTCCCTCTCAAAGTGAATGTCCTAAAGGTTCAGTCTCTTGGTTCTATCATTAACTTACTTTCCAGGGACCTCAATCTTTCTCGTGATCACTACTGAGCTCTTTAAGGTGCCCACATCAATCTATCCAGCCATAGTCTCAAGTCAGACATATTTTTAGCACCCTTTCAAATCTAGTATCACAACTCATCCAAACTGGCAAGAAGTCATCACAGTCACCCCATCTGCAACCAATCAGTGGTGGTTTAGAACTCAGAGCTGTCCTTTGCTCCCTGCCATCTCCCCCCAAAATATCAAAATGTCTCATGCTATTACTACAGTCTGATCTTGCTTCTTTGGATAAGTAGCTCTGGTTGCAGCAGAGAGCAACTAACTCAACCCCACAATAGCTATAACCTAACTTCCCTATCTAGGCCATATAATGCATCTGTATCATACTGTATCATGAAACTGCAAATCAAAATACACTGGGAAAGTAACTCATCAGTTACTTACACAGTTTATAATTCAGACCCATTACCTGAACATATGCTATTTCAACAAGAGTTTTACAGACTATTGGGTAGCAAGTCTTTTGTGAACTTGAGTCCAAGCATCACTTCTGAAATCCACGGCTTTGTAATTTTTTGTGAAACTGTACCAGTGTGGTCTAGAACATGGAAATAAGACTCCATGTAATTTCCAAAGAACAGTACCTTGCTGGGCATGGTGGTGCACACCTGTAATCCCAGCACTCGGGAGGCTAAGGCAGGAGGATCACTGTGAGTTTGAGACCAGCCTGGGCTACATAGTGAGTTCCAGGTCAGTCTCAACTACATAGTGAGACCCTGTCTCAAAAAACCAAAAACAAAGAACAGTACCTTTCAACCCTGACAGGTCATCACAGCCACCTCGAGTGGTGCTGCTCAAAGTAAGGCCAATAGACCTAGGCCACCCTACAAACTTCCAGTCATGACAAAAGCAGCACAGGACAAGAGTGTAGCTTGCAGCAGTACACTTGCCTAGTATGTGCTAGGGCTGTGTTCAACCCATGGCATGATCCACACAAACAAGTCTAAAAATCCAAAATATGCATGTGGAAACCTTTTCCCAAACATGGCAAGAGGACATGGCTATGACATTCAAACTGTGATAATTCATGTAAGTCTAAGGTTGAGCTAGGATTTTGTAGACCACAAAAAAGAACATCAGGTGACTGATGATTTTCTAGGGATAGAAACCTCTGTTACAGAGTCTACTGCCTTAAGGCCATGGTTTTTTTTGGAGGGGGGGCATAGGTTTGTACTGAGGATTCAACCCAAAACCTTCACACTGTTGTATCTCCAGCTGTTGTCTTTGTGTTAAAAACAGGGTCCGGGCCAGGTGTGGTGGCACACGCCTATAAGCCTAGCATTCAGGAGGCTAAGGCAGGAAGACTGCCATGAGTTCAAGGACAGCTGGGCTACATAGTGAGCTCAAGGCTGGCCTGGACTACATAGCAAGACCTTGTCTCAAAAAATCAAAATAAAGAAAAGTGGGGGGCAAGGAGGGTAGTAGGTCGGGCCAAGTTGCTAAATTGACCAGGTTGGGCTTGAACTTGTGATCCTCCTGCCCCAGCCTCCTAGCTAGTGCTGGGATTACAGGTGTAAACCATCTTGTTGGCAGGGGCCATGTTTTTTATGTGGTTGGAATGTGTTTTGAGAGTTAGGAACCTATGAAAAAGAACTGATAAACTTTAAACCTTTTCATCAGAGACATGTGCATACTCAGTACATTCTGTACTTTGAGACATTTCACAGATGCCTGGGGCAAAGCTTGGTCTGAACACTATGGAGGATGGAGAAGGAGGAAGAAACCAATGTTTACTAATCAATTCCCATCCTGCTACTGAACCAAAGCCTGCACAGAAGGCAAGCACAGCTCAGTGACCACTGGCTGCCTGTGCACCATGCTGCCCTGCTTTAGCTTGTTCATCCTGAGAAACTCTACATGAGGACTTTCTGAACAGACACTGTCAAAGGAAGCTTTGATTACTATTCTATAAGTACCTACTTCTGAGGACAGGAAAGGGATTCATGAGGGACAAAAGTGACTCATTTGAAACCTTAACACTCTCTTCAGAAATACATGCTTCTAAGGATGAAGATGTCTAAGAGGACTCAAATTTTGATAACCACCTAAGATACAGTATAAAGTACTCAAATGTAACGTAAAATCGGTACAATTAAAATATGTAGGAGATGCAGTATGGGGAAAAGCCAGTATCTGATGCTCCTGCCATAAACTGATGATTATTTTGACTTTACCAAGTGTATCGAGTTAGCTAAGGCGACGGAGAGCAAATATTCTTTAATGGTTTTGTTTGGTTGTGCTGGGACTAGACTAAGGGCTTCACTCATACAAAGCATGAGCACTACCCCAGCCCTTCGTTGAAGTTTTACCTGAGAAAGGCATCTATCATCTCATGCTGATATAAATTCTTTACATAAATGTTTTACAAGAAGAAAGGAAGGCCAAGTCCAGGTTGACCATCACTAACAAGAAAATCTAATATCCAAATGCCCCAAAATCCAACTTTCCGAGTGCCAAAATCATGCCACAAGTGAAAAATTCCACATTTGACCTCACGTAACAGGGCACAAAGTACAGACATGCTGAAAATATTATATACAACGGCCTCCAAGCTGTGCAATGAAGATGTACATACAACAAAAATGACTTGTTTTTAGCCATGGCTCCTATCTCATGAATGTATATACAATTATAAACAATCTAAAGTCTGAAACACTCTGGTTCCAAGCGTTTCAGATAAAGGATATTCAGTTTGTCACAAACATGTCCAAGTAACCTGTCCCCACTCTCCCTCTCTTCGAGTGGCCCTAGTTATCAGTCCCTGAAATTCCACAGAAACCCATTATCAGGGCTGGAGCAAGGGAGGCAAATTACTTACTTTTCTTCATTTCTTCGTTTCCTTTACATATTGTTTGTTTCAGTTGTTCAATCCTCATCTTGCAGGACATTATTTTCCATCTCTGAAGAAAAAAAAAAAGCATGCAAAAAATACTAAATGTTAGTTTCTTATGATTAATATTATCATCTACCTGGAAACACTGCCTATTTTTACACATCCTAGAAAACATAATAAAGAAAAGACCATCGTAATTACACTTGCTGTAGCTTTCTAACTATGGCAGATTACAAAACAGAGAATATTTCACAGGTCACTGCAGAGGCTGCTAGGAAATTCAGAGATGAAGATATAGCTCTTCTGTATGTGTCAATAAGCACAGAGAAAACTGTCAAAGGACATTTTCTGAACCTGTTCTGTCCAGTACATAACTAGCTAGTAGTCAGGCAGGCACAGTGTCACTGAGCTACATCCCTGGCCCCGCTGGCTAGTAGTCATATGTGGCTATTTCAAATTCAATTACAATTACACAAAATAACTGAGCTCCTTCCTCACACCATCCACACATCAAATGGTCAATACCATGTGAGTCTACTGGGTACCATTCTGGACAATTTTGATACAGAATATATGCACCATCACAAGTCTCACAAGCCTTTGTGATGCACTCCTCCAAAGTTTTAGTGCTGGTTACTATTAGCATCGCTGAATTGACTCATACTGTAAGTAAACTAATAAAATTTTCAACAAGACAAGTTGTTTTCTAGAAGTGGACAATGTACTGCAATGCCTCAGAAAACTGTATGAAACATTACCAGCAGTGGTACAACCAGTACACCTACGCTTTAAGTGAATAAAGGATCACTAAAAGCTGGGAACTATTAATTTAAAAATATCATTATTCTCTAATGTCCCCATAAATGCGGATGCTTAAAACAACATAAAAATATTCAGACCATTAAGCACTTATCTAAGAAGTTCAATAGTGTAAGACACAGGGCAGACTGCAGGGATGTGACAGCAAGAGAAAGACTACCAGATGCATGGCACCTTCACTTTTAAAAGGTGGTGATCTTCACATTTTTGATAGAAAACTTGAGAACATTAGAGAATTTAAAAAACTTTTCCACAGAACATATTATGCTTACTTACATCATGTGAAGTGTAAACAAAATTCATTCCTATCATAAATATTAAGTACAATAAAACTATGCATTCTTATTGTCAGAAAAAAGTAAAAATTGCAGAAGCAAAAAAGGAAGTGTGACCATTAGACTGACTCCTTCCCATTCCTGGAGGGTAACCTGTGTGTGTGTGTGTGTGTGTGTGTGTGTGTGTGTGTGTGTGTGTGTGTGTTTTGCATGCAGATGCTGGTGGGAATCATACCGAGGCCCTCCTAAATACTAAGCACACACTCCTCCACTAAGCTGGACCTTTGTACCCTAAAGGTAATCTTCTAAAATTCAAGTTTCAGAAACACCTTCTCAAGTTTTTGAGAGTATATTTATATTTAAAATACACAAATGGAATCATACTTTTATTTTTATATTAAAATATATCTTGTACATACTTTCTTATTGGTACCTATAGATTGATCACATTTAAAAGTTTCTTAAAATGATTTTTAATTGCATGGTAATTATATATCTATAGGGTTCAGTATTGATATTTCAACCCATACAAAGACTATGCATGTTCTTTTTAACACAGCACCACAGCTGTTCATCTCCTGACCAATGAACATTGAGCTTAAATTTCTGCACTCAGACACATTTTCTCAGGAGGAAAACTATTCGGGCGTTACACGTGCTGTGTGCACTTCATGTGCTTCTTAAAGCAACCACCACAAAAACAAACAACTATGGCCATTATCCTCAAACTGCCTCCAAATTGCATGTGTTGATGGACACTCCAACCAACAGGGAATAAGAGTTGCCAAACTCTGTTAGAGACCCCTGTAGTCAGGTTCCATTACCCACCTGCCTGGGGTGCGACACAGGCCTGAGAAAAAGAATACGCGAGGAGACAGAACTGAGAGAGATCAGGGGCCAGGACGACCAATGCCAGTGCAACGAACAAAAGTGTTGGCTGGTTCCAGGCACTCACTGACTTTTATTAGCAGTCAGTTGGGGTAAAGGAGATGTGTGATTTCCATGGAAATTAATGTAAACAAAGCTCATAAAGGACAAGACAAAGCATTCTCAAATTAGGAACAAAATAGACAAAATATATGATTGTAATTAGAACACTGCCCTTCTAGCCTAAAGGTTTTAGTCGTGGGAACAGAATTTGGGTGCGAGTTACTCTGACCTCAGCACCCCTGACCTCAGCACCCCTGACCTTGGCACATAGCCTTCAGCAGACTCACTTCTATAACAAGCAAAATGAGGGGTTAACTCTTTACAGCCTGCTTTGGGCATAATCATTATTATAGTCCTCAGCAAAACTCCTTCTTTTCCAACATTACATTCATTATCTCACTGTTGGGCCAGGGATTTAGCTCAGCAGTTCGGTGGCCTGCCTTACAAGCGCAAGGACCCGAGTTCAATCCCCAGTACCAAAAAAAAAAACCATTATCTCACTGTTAATTTTCTTTAGGGTTTGTAATATACAGAACATCATCTGCCCAAGTGCTCTCTGTGGTTTATAAAGGTTATGACCAAGATTGCATAAATACTCTCCGAAGCTTTCTGGGTTTTTTGTTTGTTTTTGTTTTTGTTTTTGTTTTTTGAGACAGGGGCTCACTACACAGTTGAGACTGACCTGGAACCCACTATGTAGCCCAGGCTGGTCTCAGACTCACAGTGATCCTCCTGCCTCAGCCTCCCGAGTGCTGGGATTACAGGCGTGCACCACCACGCCCAGCTCCAATGGTTTTTTTTTAATGTCTTTATGAGGACAAGAGAGGGAAGAGGAAGGAGATGTAAAAAGAATTAGGATGTCATGAACTTGTACTAACTCCCCATGATGAATGTAAATCAGTACATACTGCAAACATGTACTAATAAAGACAAATCTTTATAAGTTTATATTTAATCATCAACCCCTCTGTAGCACATTTATTGTGAATAATTTTTGTTAAAAGGATGGCTCATTGCTTTTGTAATTCTATGTCAATACCAGATTTATAATTATCCTTTATGATAGCTCCAAAATTAACTACTTGTGCCCTAGTTTTGGTATCTAGGAGAAACATTTGAGAAGTCGGCCCTACAAATCTATTTAAATAAAGGACTGTCAAAGTGATCAAAAAAAATTTTTTTTGGCGTTCCAGGAAATGGCCGAGTGGTGAGCAGCAGAGAAAAAGCCTTTCCTAGATCTGGTGTCCTGGCACTAGACTATAATGGCATGAGGAGGAGATGGAAGGAAGTGGGTCCCCGGGACCAAGGGAGGAACTGAAGCGAGAAGTGAAGTCCACAGGGAGAGCAAAGACAGAACTCCAACAAAGGAAGAAGACACAAGCCGTGTTCTCTCCCAGAATCATGGAGTTTTTAGAAACAGTGGGTCAAACCTTCAGACACACAGTGACTACTGGAGACACCAGCCTGCAACAGCTGGTGATCTATCCCAGTTCAGACATCCCCCAGGAGAGGGTGATCGGCTGGGAGCCATCTTAGAGAGGGGCCAACTAAGCTTGGAACTCAGAACAGTTACAGGCCAGCTCCATCTAGTGGCTCCCAGTGTCTCGGTGAGGATGCAAAGTTCAAGTCAGCAGGGAACCAAGTGCATGGAGCACATGGACTGCTGCAGGCTCAAAAAAAAACAGTTCCAGACTCATAGCCAAAAACTAGTCTGATTTCAGTGAAACTAAAGGTACAGGCCAGCTGGGATTATCCACTACTCCACCATAAAGTTATAAATCAATTCAGCTCTGGACTGTCCACCCACACTGTCTAACAGTAACAGCAGAGACATGCCAGGAATTGAATTTTTTTTCTTTTTTCTTCTTTTCTGGTTCTTGCTCTCGACTTGTTTTGGTTTTTCTTGAGACTTTAAACACAGTTTCTGGTTTCTGTTGTTCTGTTCCGTTACTGTTTTTGTCTCTTCCTTTCTCTTTCCCTCCTGTCTGCTTCACCAGTTTCCCAAAGTCTGGACCAATCTTCCTTGGTCCTCCAGCCTTGATTTTAATCTTTCCCACTTCTTCTATCTTTCCATCCAACTCCTCCTAAATCTTCTTCCCAAAGGATAAAGGGATAAAGGCAAATTACTACATACAATTTTCTAGTTTGTTTTAGATTGTTATATAACTACAAATCTAGTTCAAATGGTTAAAGATGGCAAATTAATAGTTACCACAGTCTGTCATTTTCTAGATCGTATTTGGTATTATTGGGTTTGGTTTTTTTTTTTTTTGTACCAGGGATAGAACTCGGGTCCTTGCACTTGCGAGGCAGGAAGCGGGGCACCACTGAGCTAAATCCCTGGCCTGATATTATTGTTATTGCTAAGTGTACTATACTTCCTGGTATAGCAAGACTGAGAGTGACTAAGGGACTTTAAAAAAGAAAAACTATAGGCCAATGCCAAAGAAATAGTGGCTGGGCCAAGTAGGCAGAAACTTCTTATGCCCAACAAATTGAAGAGGTAGGTTCTTGCAGCAGAGTAAAAATCCAAAACCCAGCTACACGTGGAAGACACCTCTGAGAAGTAGTCATTTCCTAAAGGTTCAGAACACTGGCACCAAAGTTATTCCCCATAAGCAATTTACAAGTATCAACCCAGGAATTAAACTTTTAAAAAAAGAGAGAAAATGAAAAGACACCATAACAACATGCAACCAACTCAGACTTCCAGCTCACCAAAGGCAAACCCAAGGTAGAACAATCCAAAAACCGCCCACCTGGACATTCTAAAGTGGTAACAGTAGAAGTAACAAAGTAGAGGCTCTAGGGAAAAATCAAAGCAGAAATAATTTTTCAGATAACTACAGAGATGGTAACCACATCGAAAGACACAGTGACTCTAGAGCAGTTAACAGATTAAAAAAATAAAGCCAGGGGTCAGGAATTTAGCTCAGTGGTGCCAGGCGCTTGCCTCACAAGCCCAAACTACAAAATCAACACTCAAAAATCAATAGCCTTCTTGTACACAAATAACAAACAACACTGAGGGAGAAATTAGGGAAGTATCACCTTTCAAAATAGCATACAAGAAAATGAAATACCTAGGAATCAATCACACAAAGGAAGTAAAATAGCTCTACACTGAAAACTACACTACTCTGAAAAAGATCAGAGATCAAACAGGCTATCAGAAAAGGGAAAGATGTCCCTTGTCCTTGAGTAGGAAGAACCAATAGAGTGAAAATGGCCATACTTCCAAAATTGTTATACAGATTTAATGCAATTCCAATCAAAATTCCAAATTCCA